GTACTATAGTACAGGGACTTTTGTCAGATTTTGGAGCAACTTTAAAAATTCGTAAAAAATCCAATTTTGATCGGAATCAGCTCAAACTTTCTACGCAACATAAGTACATGTATATGCATCAGAAAATGTTATAAAAATGGAGAATTCTCACCTTTTCATTTTTGGCGAAATTTGGTCCAAGACCATGTACTATAGTACAGGGACTTTGGCCTAATTTGGAGTAACACACACATTGACATACTTGTTCAGCCACAATTAGTTTTCCGTCAAATGCTACTGGAGATTGTAAAGTTTGAGTGCTACGCACTGACTAGAAACAAAAAAATAAACCACATCTTCTGCATAGCAATAATAGTACCAGTATTATCTTATTCTTTTTACTAACTGAAATACCGGAATTTTTAAACCCACTTGATATAGCTATCCTCAACTATAAATAAATTATTATTAATACGGTTTTATTAATTAATGACTGACTATTGCCTGTGCATGTTCTAAGGTCCTACACGAGACGTGAAGTACAAACGGTTCAAATTTATAATAAGTATAACAAGAGATTGGTATATCTTTGTCTTTCAATACGCTTAACTAAAAATATTAAAATCAATTCATTTTGTTTAAAAGTTTACCTACCACATTGTCAATGCTGACGGTCTCATGAGATGTTAATAACCACAATGTACCCTCTTTACCTGTCCGTGTATTCTAAATAATTATTATTTAAAATAATCAAATAAATTAATAAAATAATAAACCTCAGAAAATACAATAATCCTTCCAGAGCAAGAGCTGGTTGTGTAGTAGTCCTCTTGTTTGTTGATGTATTTCACTAATTCAATAATTGGAGCATCGATACTTCCCTTTCTACTGGCATCTTCCTTGTCTTCCAAAACTCTTCTCTTCTCTGAATCAAAATAAGTGAATGTAGGCGTGGCCATTGGTAGACACGTGGCAGCACGTGGTTAATTATCATGCGTGAGATTAATGCATGGGTGTGGCTTGTTATTAATGAGCCACGCCCGTTTGTGACAATTCATTTTTGCAGAAATGAAAGGTTTATTTGCAACAAAAACTGTACATTATTGAACAAAAATATTACATCATTTATTGATAAAGTCCATTAGGTCCTAGCTGGTCATTCGGCTTCACTCCTTTTCTGCACGTGGACACTATCCATTCATGTTCATTAAGATCTACCAAAACAATCAGAAATAATAATAAATTAATAATTACAGGAGTTGCTAAGTGTTTTATTGCACCTGCATGTCTAAGGAATTCTTCAGTTCCGTATTTGTGTATGACGTGATTTTCAGGATTGTACATTCCATCTCCAGTATCAAACCAACCTAGTGGTATTGTTCTAGCTATTGAATCGTCATCTCTTTTCTGTGTGCATCCTGTTAAAAAAAAGGAATCAAAATATTGTTTCTATTTCTCTTTTGTGTTTGCCTGCAGGTTTTAGTCCGTTGCATATCTCTGTGTAGAATCTTCTGTCTTTCTCTTGGCAGTAGTTCCAAGCTATTTCATCATGCTTTAAACCATCTTTAAATGTATATACTCCCTTTTATAAAGAAAGGAGAAGGAGTATCAGTAAGAGCATTATTCTTCTTGAATAACATCTTTGATTCTGTCAAACTTACTCCATTCCCTGATTGCGGTGTCACTGCTTCACCATTGACCCAATCTGCTGTGAATGTTCCTCCATTAGGAAATATCAGCTTTCCCTTTCCGTGAAACCTAAAGAAAGACAAAGATTCTCAACTCTACAACCTCTTCTA